TTGATCGGTAAACTTGGTCTTGGCTGGCTGTTCTTGCTGATCTTCTGGGGGAGGGGCCTGTTGCTGTGGTTCCCAAATGTCTTTGCCAGAGGCAGAATTGCTCCGCCCTTGCCCAGTCGCACTAAGTAATCTGCTCGGGTTAGCTCTTGGGGGCTTTTGTTCCCTGCAAGCTTTTGGTGCAGCTTTGGATGATGAGAGTGAAAATGGTGGCCTCCCAATCTCCACCCCGGAGGAGCCGAGAACTCGGGGCCCGCTCATCAGTGAGCCCCAGAGAAAGGCAGTCAGTCACTCCCGTCTCCCCCATCTCCTGTGATGGAGCATTTCTATCTCTCACACACGACCCCATGTGGAGTCTCCAAACCCAGCAGATCCCTGTGGTGTGCTCCCGCGTCGCTCCTCCCAGGGGAGGAAGGGGAGTCTCCCTGGATCTGCCGCTTGTTGGGTCCCTGCTGGAAGAGCAGTGGCCCGACTATGCCGCGGATCACGGTTTATGGCAACCTGGGACTGAGAGCCCACTCCTTGGCTCCATCTCTGCAGCCAGCTTCCCCACTCTGGTACCTGGGAGGTCTGCTGCACTCAGGCCCCCCGCCGTCTTTCTGTGACCCCGAGGGTCCTGAGACCACACTGTCCCAGCGAGGGTTCCACCCTCCACTTAGCCACTGGAGCAACATCCCTCAGCAAAGCCGACTTCTAAAAGTTCCGATTTTGTGCTCTGTTGCTCTATCACTTGCCAGTAGCAGCTGATGGAGGCCCCCTCCCCCGCCGTCTATCCTCCCGAATATCGCCTCGGATTCACTTCTCCCCACGTCCTACCTTCCAGAAGTAGTCGCTTTTCTGTTCAGAGAGTTGCTGCTATTCTTTTCTTCAATCTCCTGTTGAGTTTGTAGGTGTCCAGAATGGTTTGATCCCTGTCTTGCTGAATTCCTGGGACCAGACGAAATTTAGGTCTCCTACTCCTTCGCCATCTTGCTCCTTCCCTCCTCCCTAACATATATTTTAAATATATGTTATATGCTTTTGTAAAAATATGTGAAAGCCTCAAATAATAAGCAAAAATCCTGTAAATTCTAAAATTTTAAAAAAGTGCTTGAAATATGAACAACTATTTTTATTTTTATTAACATCTTAATTTCCTTTCTGTTTTAAAGCCCAACCTGAATTCCTGAAACAGCCTACTAATATATATGCTCACGAATCAATGGATATTGCATTTGAATGTGAAGTGACTGGGAAACCAACTCCAACTGTGAAGTGGGTCAAGAATGGGGATATGGTTATTCCAAGTGATTACTTTAAGATTGTAGTAAGTATTTTTCAAAGGACACTTATCTCCCAAACCTTTAAATGTCTTTAAATGTAATCACTAAGAGATCTGTTGTCTTATATATACTAGTTTATGTACTGCAGATGAAGATAGGAAAATACACATAGAATGTAATCTTTTCATTAGCTGATGAGAAAGCTAAGCCTAGATGTATTTTGGTGTATAAGATCAAATAGCAAGTCAGTAGTTGAACTAAGCATAACGTCCATATCTCCTGACCAACAGTCTGGTATTCCAACTCAAACATGCTAGTACTCTTACTAAACACAGTTGTCACTATTTTCTTGGTAATGATTATGCTGTGTGTGCACCAGTTGTCTTCATAGCTCTCCATTCAAAGAACAGAAATCTGTCCTTCATATACTGATGCCCAGGCCTTTCAAAAGAAGTATGACCCAGGGTTGGACGATTGTGATGATAGATAAAAAGATTCTTAAGAAGTAAATAGCATTAAATGTATTTAAGAATACTCAGCCATTATTGCTTTTTATTTGATATATGGTTAAATGCTTAGTAAATATTGTCTACAATTATTATTATCATTATCTAAATCCTAGTAATAAAATTATCTAAGTTTTGGTAATAAGGATTAATATATTAAGGTGTATACATGGCATTCATAGAAATAATCAGAAGTAATTATGGTTGTTACTGATGTAATGTCTTATAAATTTTTCATATAAGTAATTCATTCTTAGTAGGAATATATTTTCTATTTTGAAATGCATAATCTCATATGTTACAAAAAGTAATTCACACGTATATTTAACTCTAATTAAAAAGCAATGTGTTACAGCTAAATGAGCATTTTTACTCTTATCAGTTTCATATTATTCTTAAAAATCTTAAAACCATATTAAATTAATAACAATATTTGACATTTATATAGTTCTTTGTAATTTAAGGGAAGCTTGTATTTGTGCATCCTCATTTAACTTATTGTAGACTAATCTGTTAGAACTAATGATATTAGAGATAATTTTAAGAAAATGCCTTGAATTCACAAATTCAGACTTTTACTATAGTCACATGGTATTGTATGTCAGATATTTTTCCAACCAAAGGTGTAGGTCTGCGAACACTGTGGATATTACTTTCCATAAGGATTATGTTCTTAATTAGTTACCGTGTTTCCTGTTCTAGTCAGTTAAATCAGTACCTTGTCAATAAAATTGAGTTAACAGGTACATAGATAATATTTAGTAGCTGAATCATACAATTTTACTTATTTTTTCTCCCCAGAAAGGGTATATCCTTGAGATTTTGAACTAATGTTCCTCAGTCAAATCATAAAATTTTATTTATGTTTTTCTTTCTCAGAAGGAACATAATCTTCAAGTTTTGGGTCTGGTGAAATCAGATGAAGGGTTCTATCAATGCATTGCTGAGAATGATGTTGGAAATGCACAAGCTGGAGCCCAACTGATAATCCTTGAACATGGTAAGAGGGGCTGAAATAGTAAAATGAAAGAGGCTGTGTTTGAGGAACTAGTATCTATCACAGTACCTATTACTCTAGGATACCTCATGATTAATAACCCATTTCTAAAGACCAGTATATGGCATAGCTAAGAGGAAAAGAAAGCAGTCTAAATATTTCCTACTGCTTAAAATGACCTAGAAACACAATTTTGGATAATATTGAAAAGAACTGAACAACTACAGTCTTACACAAATGAATGTTCTTTATATTTCAGTCACTTTAATCTCACAAATATATTTCTGCACTATTAAAATAGAAAAACTTAAAGTACTTTTTATTTTGCATTGAGCTTTTCCAAAATAAAAATAACATGCCTTTTCTAATTATGACACATACAAAAGATGCTTATTATAAATTCAGACAACATTGAAAAGTAAAAAAGGGGGAAAAAGCCCTGGCCTTTATCAGTCATTCACTTCTGGGAAAACCACACAATAATTTGAGCAGATAATCCTGACTATAAAGAACTATTAACTATAACAGAATTAGAGTAACAAGGGGTGGGCTGACAAGAAGTAAAAACAACTCTAGTGAATATAAGAATGGCAGATATAAAGAGCAGTCACAAGTTGTAGGTCTGAGAGAGAGTGTTAAGCTCCTCGGGACTGAGATCCAGACTGTGTTGGAGTGTGGCCATGTTTTACTGCACAACAGAGAAGTTGCTCTGCTGTTGAACCCTGCTCAAAACCCAGGGTCTGGTGTGCTAGGTAGCCAGTCACAAGGAGGTGTCTCCCTGAAGGCATTCTGCTACAAAACCACCTGAGGGGTTGGGGTGTTGGGAGAAGCTGCTCTCCAGCTGATAAAATTTGAAACATATGTCCTCTGCAAAGAAAAGGATAGATAAAGGGCTCATCTTCATTTTTGCAGAGCAGGCAATGAAGGATGAATTTGGAATTGAGGGGCAATAAATTGATAATGGCACATGCGCCAAATCCTGCCTTCTAGGAGTACTGCATATGAACATGCACAGATGTGTATATGGTTTGATAACGCATTTTCTTGGAACAACATGCTGTGAACAACTTCTCATGTCAATAAATATATAGATTTGTATCAACATTTTCCACTTTATTTGCACTTTGTTTTGTGTAAGTGATTCCCTATTGGTTAACTTTTAAATTGTTTCCTTTGTTTTACTATTATGAACAATGCTATGCTGAACTTCCTTATATGATTATTTTCTCATACTAAATTACTAGAAGTTGAATTGTTGGGTAATCTGTGTCAAATTGATAAGGATACCTGTTGGATGTATTATTTATTTGTTTTAGCAAGAAGAGCATTTTTCATTTTGTGAAGTTCTCAAGAATATATGAAAAAGATAATGCTTTAGACATGTAGTCTGGTGTCTGAGTCAGATTAAGTTCAGGTTCCAGTTTGGCGCCAGCTATATAGTCTTGCTGCAGAAGGTAATTGGTAAAGATAGTGCCTACTCTGGCTTTTCACTAAAGTAGCATACCGGATTTTTATAAGCTCTTTCTTGAAAATGTATTTGAGAGTAGTATTATAAAAAGGAATAAAATACTAGAGCTGCTCTTTTTTCTTCCTGTGTGTGATTATACCTTTCCCTGTTTATTGAAAAGGATTAATAGAAACTTGTCCTTTTCCGTCTTGGCAAATGCCTGAGTATGATTGCCAAATCAGGCACTAAGGTAGATAAGCTATTTCTTTTTATTAGTGGCAGTGATCTTCCTTGGTAAAATTTGTGGATCTCTTGGGGTGATTTACATGGAACTAAATAAAGGAATTTCAGTATATCTATGTATGGAGTTACCATTATAGGTTTAACTCTAATAGCATAAATGGTTGGCTATGCCAGGAGGTCTCTAAACTAATCCTAATTGGGTTTTCCTCTGAAAATGTTTGGATAGCATAATTATAGTTGCAGTGTGTGTTTTTTCCTTTTTGAGACAACAGACATTTTTGGGCTGGCAGAAGTTTTTAGTAACCTTGTCAGGGATGGATTATAAGAAAGACTCATGTTACTAATTTTGCTGTTTTAATTTGCAAGATAAATAATTATGTGGGAAAGCTAAAAGAGAATATAACAGTTTATAAGGTCTGATCTCTGTTTTTTTGGAGTTTATAATATTATAAAGGATGTAAGAGATGTGTACAATTTAATACCCAGTCCATAATAAGTGTTATTTTTATAATACAAATAAAGCAGCATACAATTTGGAAGAGAGGAATTCTCTCTGTGTGATCAGGGGAGCTTTTTCATAGAAAGTGTCCCCTTTGTAATAGACCTTGAATTATAAGATTTCCAGGTGTTAAAAAGAGGGTTTGGGTCAGTATGGAAATAGAACACTTGTATTCCTTTAGGAAGTTAGCCTGTGAAGGCAGAATAGGATCAGACTGATCATGGCCTTGATTGTAAAGAGTCAAATACAATACTGTAGTGAGGCAGTCTGATATAAAGTCAGGTTTAATTAGAAGAAGTTCATTTGAGGGGCACCTGGGTGGCTCAGTTAAGTGTCCAACTCTTGGTTTCAGCTCAGATCATGATTTCAGGGTCATGAGATCAAGCCCCACGTTGGATTCCACAGAGTCTGCTTGAGATTCCCTCTCCCTGTGCCCCTCCCCCTGCTTGTGCATACCCTTGCTGTCAAATAAATACAAAATCTAAAAAAAAAGTCCATCTGAATTAAAATGAAAATTAAAAGCCAAAAAATAGAAAATAAAAATACAATCATTCCACACACAAAAAAAGGAGAAGAAGGCAGATTGGAGGAGGCAGCTAGTTGAAGGAATATCGTTACAAGAGGCCATTGTGAGATAAGTAGTTATACTAGAAAAATAGAAAGGATTCTAATAAGATATTAGTGATTTATCTAATCCAGACTTTATTGACTGATTGAATATTCAACATTGTTATAGAGAAGTCAGGGATACTTCCCAGGTTTTCTCTGGGTGACTGGAAGTTTCTCTGCTTTCCAAAACAGAAAAGGAAGGTGAATCAAAGTGGAAGGGGGACTTCTACTCAGCATGTAAAGAGTGGCACATAATATCCCATTCTTATCTACAATAACAAGCTGGATGATCTACAAAATCATAATTTCTCTGAGCCCATCAGAGAGCTCAGCTTGCAAAGCAGCCAAGTAACCTAAATTCCAAAGAATTGCACACCCCATTGCCCCCATAGAATGGGTCGTTAATTCTTTGACCTTTGGCAGAGCATGAGAGAAAGAAATGGCTTCCATAAAAGTGGATAAGAAGAAATTGACGGGGGCACCTGGGTGGCTCAGTCATTAAGCGTCTGCCTTCGGCTAGGGTCATGATCCCAGGGTCCTGGGATTGAGCCTCGCATCAGGCTCTCTGCTCTGCAGGAAGCCTGCTTCTCCCTCTCCCACTCCCCCTGCCTGTGTTCCCTCTCACACTGTGTCTCTCTCTGTCAAATAAATAAATAAAATATTAAAAAAAAAGAAATCGAAAAAGTTTTAATTGATTGTTAAAGACTCAGTATGAACTACTTTGGAGTACCTGAGGGCCCCAGATGAAAGGGGAGTTCATACATGCTTGCAAATACATTTCCCTGGAACTCCACAGGGAGCAAGGCAGAGACCTGAGAAGTCATTTTGGTGGTGAAGAGGTGAAAGAGGTAATCTGTGGCACCTGGGAGATAGGTGCAAGGCCCCTCTCATTTACTCAGATTCCTTTAAGCCTCAAACCAGTGAGGGAGGGGCAAAAAGCCTTATTTCATAAATTTCTGGGGGGAGATTAGAAGCAAAACCTTTCTGCTTCTGCAGGGAGGAACCCTTTGGTGCACAGGGCCTACCTAATACTGAGGCTGGACAGGGACAACTGAAAATCCTACTTGCCCTACCACCAAGTAACAGACAAAAGCTTTCTACGGCTGGGGGAAGGTCAAGAATATAGAGAAATCCATGGGTGTTATACTTAACTAATGAATCATTGAACACTACATCAGAAACTAATTATGAACTATGCAGTGACTAACTGAGCATTAAAAAAAAGAAGAATATAGAGAAATCCCTATGTGGTAGAGGTATGCAGAAATGGTTGAAAGCTGAGAGGAAAACAGGTAAATTGAGAAAAACTCTCCAGCTCTTCATCTCTCTTCTTTTGCACAAGATAATGGTAGGTCCACCATTAGAAGAATTTGAAAACTGTGGTGTGCTAAAGGTAACTAAAACAACAGTAAAATCTGTACCAAGCTCAGTTCCTTTCTAAGTTGACTTAACCTGTCCACACTAATGGCTTGACAGAATATACATGCTGTGTTCCAAGTATAAATAATAATTATCTCAGTCTCTGCTATTCTGTACACCGTGCCTAGCATTCAGTCAAAAATTATTGGACATAAACAGAGCAAGGGAGAACTGGCACATTGTTGAGGGATCAACAGAAAGGAGACCCAGATATTGGAACTATCAGGGACTTTAAACTAATTATTATTGGTATGTTAAAGGATTTAGTGGAAAAAGTAGATAACTTGAATGAACCAGAGGAGGAATTTTGGCAGAAAGATGGAAACCATAAAGAGTTTGAAGATACTTCTGTTTGTCCAGAGAGTGAAAGGGTTCTATAACTGAGGAAGGGAAATTAGAAAAAACAATGGTATCAGAGATGAAGTATTTACTCAGGGTGATCAGTAGACTCAACACAGCTGAGGAAATAGGGATCAACTTGAAGATAGTTCAGTATAAATTATTTAAACTGAAATAAAAGATAAAGAGAGGTCAAACAGAATATCTTAAGATGGGAAAATAAAAGATGGTATAACATAAATAAATTGGTGTCTCACAAAGAAAAGAGAACAAGAACAGAACAGGAAAAAAAATATTTAAATAGATAATGGCCAAAATTTTTTAAAAATAAACAAGATCATATTACAGGTCAAAGAAGAAGAAGCTCAGACAGTCCCAAGTACGCTAATAATAATAATAATCATAATAATAGGGAGTAGTAATAAAAGAAAACACACCTATACACATCATAGTTAAACTACTGAAAACCAGGGGCACCTGGGTGGCTCAGTTGGTTAAGCGTCTGCCTTCAGCTCAGCCCATGATCCTGGGGTCCTGGGGATTGAGCCCCGTGTCAGGCTCCCTGCTCAGTGGGGAGTCTGCTTGTCCCTCTTCCTCTGCCCCACCCTCCCCCCCAGTCATGCTCTCTCTCTCAGTCTCACTCTCTCTCAAATAAATAAAATCTTAAAAAAATATAAACTATTGAAAACCAAACATAATGAAGAAGTCTTGAAGACAGCCAGAAAATTTTAACAAGACACAGAGGACTTTTTTCTTTCCGTGCCGCACAGTGGCAGGATGGTGGTAAAGATTTCTAAGAAGAGGAAGTTTGTCACCAGTGGCATCTTCAAAGCTGAACTGCATGAGTTTCTGACTTGGGGGCTAACTACTCTGGAGTGGACGTCCAAGTTACACTAACCAGGACTGAAATCATTAACTTAGCCACCAGGATGCAGCATGTTCTTGCTGAGGAGGGCTGGCTAATCCAGGAATTGACCGCTGTGGTTCAGAAGAGGTTTGACTTCCCTGAGGGCAATGTGGAGCTTTATGCTGAAAAGGTGGCCACAAGAGGTCTTTGTGCTATTATCCAGGCAGAGTCTCTGTTACAAACTCCTAGGAAGCCTTGCTGTGTAGAGGGCCTGCCGTGGTGTGGTGTGCTGTGGTCCATCATGGAGAGTGGGGCAAAGGCTGTGAGGTCATGGTTGTCTGGGAAACTCTAAGGACAGAGGGTTAAATCCATGAAGCTTGTGGATGGCCTGATGATTCACAGTGGGGACCCTGTTAACTATTATGTTGACACTACTGTGTACCATATGCTGCTCAGACGGGGTGTGCTGAGCATCAAAATGAAGATCATGCTTCCCCGGGATCCAAGTGGTAAGACTGGCCCTAAGAAGCCCCCACCTGACCATGTGAGCATTGTGGAACCCAAAGATGAGATATTGTCCACCACCCCCATCTTGGAACAGAAGAGTGGGAAGCCACAGCCAGACCCACAGTCTCCTTGGCAGCTGGATCTGGAGTCTGGCTATTACTCTGTGAAGACCCTTAATAAAATCTTTGAAAAAGACACATGGCCTGAACAGACTGTACATTCACTATTTGAACTGAGGATTCTGTTGCCCAAAGGGAACATGACTTCATTTATTCTTACGGCTGCCTGGCTCATGATACTCCTATGTTTTCCCTGAAATCCTTGGTTTCAACTGTGATTGTGAGGCAAGAGCCAGAATAGGAGGACCTACGCAAATTTAACCAGAGGGATATCCTGTGGGGAGGTAACTGTGGCAATGGTGAAGGCTGATTGCTAACAGGACAGCACCTTGATTAATTCACTGCAGTTTGGGTTTATAGGTTTAGAGAGGGACATATTTAAAATGGTTTTCTTTACTTCATGTATAAGGAAATCTGTATTGCACATAGACAATAAATATAATGCTCATTAAAAAAAAAAAACAAAAAACACAGAGGAACAAAGATAAAAAATTACAGCTGACATTTTACCAGAAATGGTGCAAGCCAGAAGACAGTGGAGCGGCACTTTTAAAGTCCTAAGAGGGGGGAAAAAAAAAAGTCAACCCAAATAATATACCTAGCAAATATATCTTTCAAAAATGAACGTGAAATAGCTTTTCAGAACAAAAGCTGAGAAAATTCATTGTCAGCAGACCTGTGCTATACGAAAGTTAAAGTTCTTTAGGCAAAAGTACTTGACAGAAACTTGCAGGGTCTTCAAAAGGAAACAAACAGGCCAGAATGGTTTAAAAACAAAAAAATAGAGCGCCTGGGTGGCTCAGTTGGTTAAGCGACTGCCTTCGGCTCAGGTCATGATCCTGGAGTCCCTGGATCGAGTCCCGCATCGGGCTACCTGCTCAGCAGGGAGTCTGCTTTGCCCTCTGACCCTATCCCCTCTCATGTGTTCTCTCTCATTCTCTGTCTCTCAAATAAATAAATAAAATCTTTTAAAAAAAATAAAAATAAAAACAAAAAAATAAATATAAAATTCTCTTATTTTCATCACTTTAAGAGGTAATTTCCTATCTAAATAGGAGAGCACCAACCTTTTCAGCAAAGGGCTAGACAGTAAATATATTAGATTTTGTGGGCCAGTATCTGTCACAGCCACTCAACTCTGCCCTTGTAGCGTCAGATCAGCCATATTATAAATCAAACTACCTTGACTTCCTGGAAAACTTTATTTGCAAATAAGAGGTGGCATGTCCTTGTTTGCTGATCTCTGACCTAGAAAAATCGTTTATAGCATATAAATTTAAAATATATGACAAAACGGAGTGAAATTTTTAGCAAAAACTTTTTTTAGCAAGAAATTACTGTAGAATTGAAAATAGTTTATAACAAATATAATAGAAAAAATATAAAGTATCAATATAGTAGTTCCTAGTGCATAAGTATAATAGAAAAATATATATAAAAAAATTAAATAGAAAAATAGCTTATAACCTATAAAATTAAAATATATGACAAAGCAGTGAAGTTTGTTTTTTTTTTTATTCTTATGTTAATCCCCATACATTACATCATTAGTTCTAGATGAAGTGTTCCATGATTCAT